AACACTCCCTACTGTACATGTTTGTGTAGCTGAGCTACGAATGTTCTGCTTCAAAATTTCTATTGCTTCCTGATTTGTTGTGACAATATTACACATGCTATACACATGCTTTTTTCATGGTGTTACCTGACAATTTGTCTGTCCATTATTTAATTATTTTTCTCTTAATTTTCCCAGCCGAATTTGGGACACGGCATCGGGGCAGTGTTTAAAGACACTCATAGGTAAGATTACTGTGTGTGTGCTTTGCTTTCAGGCCTTCAGTCCTCTCATCATTAGTTGGGTTTCCATTCAAATGTAGCTCAAATTTTAGCCTCATTTTCAGACATGTATGCACTTCTCCATCCTCTACTGTTATGCGAATATAGCGTTGCATGGTATACCGGTACTAAAATAGTATCGCGGTACTAGAGTATTCCAAACGGTACTATACTGCATTTGGAAAATACTGGTACTTTGAAATTGATTCAATTCATTAATTTAGTTAATTTATTTTACTCATTTATGCACACAAACGCCTTTCTTGTTCCTATTGGAGCACAGATTGCGCAAGTGGTGTGTATGACAACACCTGTATCAACATTCGCAGCTGGCGGGAGACAACACGAGACAACACAAACTTGGTGGAACATATGAGTTACCAAACCGTGACGTCCGTACCAAGGTACTGACCGAACCATGATTTTTTTGGAACCATTACACCCCTACTATTTATTGTTCTAAAGGTTTGTATCCAAAAGGACTTTTCCTTAGGAAAAGTACCAAAGAGTATCGAAAAGTATCGAAATTCATATTGGTATTGGTACCGAAACAAAGATTTTGGTATCGTGACAACACTATGCGAATATTTGTGGTCGGTTCGTTAAGATAAGCAGTAGGTGGCGCTAATTCTCCAGTCAGTGTACCACTGCAGAGGAGTGCGCAATGAGATGACGTAATTAAAAGAGGACCAGTCAAACCTCAAATGAAGGAACACAATGGATGTAAAATAAGAGAGAGTACACTTGACGATGGAAAACGAGTTTTTAAATCTAATATTACAGCTATGTGCTCTTGGAAGAGTTCTGGTAACAGCGCAGTGTCCATACATAAGCTGTTAAAAGCTAACCAGAGATGAAGAAGAGAGCTTGCGTGACAGTATGTTATAACTGTACATCATAATTTTTTAGCTGAATCTGTTTCCATTGCACTTAGTTGCATTTACCATTTATTGATATACCAACTTTTCCCGCCGTCCCCAAGCGTACATTTTGGGGTTTTTTTTGGTTTTTTTTGCAGTGTTTCCATTTTTTTCCTCAATTATTAGCCTTTTCACTCCATTTTTTGAATACGCAAGTTGAAATTGCGCAAAAAAAAGTTGGTTGGAAACACACCTAAGTCACATTTTGTGCAGATTTTCCCCTTATTCTCGTTTTTGTTATTAAAGAAAAGTAAGAAAATGGAAGTTGTCTGTTGATAAGTGACAGAAAATTCCAACTCTGTCTGAAATAAAGCATCATAAAATGTGTAAAAAATCCAAGTAGGTTAGTTGTTGAGATATCATTTCCCTGTTTGTGTGCTGACGTGCTCCTGTTGTTGTGTTTATATCAGATGATGACAACCCTCCTGTGTCATTTGTGAAGTTCTCCCCCAATGGGAAATACATCCTGGCTGCTACACTGGATAAGTGAGTATTAACCACTACCTGCACACAGTGGAGTCAAGTCAGTGCTCCTTTCTGTTTTAGAAGGTGGCCATTATGTAGTTTAGAAGTTTCACCAGCAGGAGGCAGTGTAACATTATCATTTCTATAGCATTCAGCATTAGTGTTTCAAGGCGAGGTGTTTAACAGATGCACTGCTGTGTTTGTGTTTACCTTTCAGCACGCTGAAGCTGTGGGACTACAGTAAAGGAAAGGTGAGCATTCAACCTAAGAAAATACAAAAATCAAATTGTAGGGTTTTTTTTATTAAAAGAGTGCAAGTTGTAAATACTTATCTGCTGCTGATAGTTTTGACCGTTTGATACACATAATTAACTTTTATTCCTCCAACATTTCAGTGCTTGAAAACGTACACAGGCCACAAAAATGAGAAGTACTGCATATTTGCAAATTTCTCCGTCACCGGTGGAAAGGTAAGAACGTTTGTACCTGGCGTTTAACGTCTCACTTGCAGTTTGTATATTTATATTCTACGCTTTGAAATGATTGACACGTGCAGTTAAATGTAACTGAAGCTAAGTGGGTGCTCTCTCGCAGTGGATCGTGTCAGGCTCGGAGGACAACATGGTTTATATCTGGAACCTGCAGACGAAGGAGATCGTGCAGAAGCTCCAGGGCCACACGGGTACAGGACACACACTGTTTAAATCTTAATACGCTTAAAATGTGACGTGTTGTCCTAATGCAGTGTCAGCTGTCTTTCAGTTAGCCAGATATTTGTGGCTGTGGTGCAACATGTTTATTAAACTGTCACACAGTTCTGAGCACTATTTCAATTTTCCTTCTCGCGTTCTCTTTTCAGACGTCGTCATCTCCACCGCCTGCCACCCGACAGAGAACATCATCGCATCCGCGGCTTTAGAAAATGACAAAACCATCAAGCTATGGAGAAGCGACTGCTAAGCCCTTTTGGATCTTTTGGGCCATTCATATTTCTTTCCTTTATTTTTTTTTCTACATTTTTTTCTATGTTTTGTTGTAAGAAAAGAGGACTTTTTTCTAACAGAGAGCTCCTGCGGGATGCACAGGGCTTTCAGGTAATGAAATTCAGCGAGGAGAACCAAATGAGACGCAGCCACACACAGTATCAGCCGAGTCAGTTCTACAGCGGACGTGTTCTTCATGTCGCATCTGACATCTATTCCACGTGTCTGTTAATGTGCCACATTGTGTTGTCTCCACAGGGACGCTGGAGACTTTTGGTATTCTTTACAATAACGCCGATTCTCTGTTCTGGTGCTTCAGTATTTTTGACACTGCATTAACCCTGATGTCACTGCTTCTCTGTTCACTCACACACGTGCATTTCTGGTCTTGTACAATAAATGTAACACTTATTTCTATGATTTATTTTGCCTTTAATTTGTCTGTGTAATTGTGTAGTACCGTCTAAATGACTTCGAGGTGGAGAGGTGACTTTGACATCAAGCTTTAGATATTAAAAAAATCTGCAGATCCTTATGGCTGTTATTTATTCAAGTAGTGTTTCTCTTTCTTTTCCTTAATATCCAGTGCCAGATCTCAGTTGTGCGCTGTGTGCCAGAATATATTTACAAAGTTTGTGAGTCCAATTCAGGCAGCAAACAAGGATCTAAAGTTTAGGAAGTACATGAGCCAAGTCAAAACTGCCTCAAGAAAATGTGACGTATGATGTCACATAATGTGACAGTGACAGAAAACCCAAATGTTATGAATTTTATACAATCCAGTCGGATAATTATATTTAGTCCCCCCCCAAATGTCTAATTTTAACATTTTACAGTGACCAAATGCAGTTACTTTGTGTTCTAGGATTTGTACATATTACATTGACGTATTGTGTTTTGATTATTTTAGCTGTCTTTGTTTTTTTTTTTAATGGTCTCTTCTGCTTGATTAGCTCTTACTGTAGTTCTGCACACAAAGCCAGCAGCATCTGTTCTCTGTAGTTAACCTGGACTTTTGTGGAATACATGTTTGCATTTGACAGCTATAACCCCCGAGACTTAATAAAACCAGTTTTTGTATGTTTCATGTTACCGAGTCGTGAGTGAATGTGATGTTGGCTGTTTTTGCCACCTTAAAGGGATGGTTCAGATATTTTTGAGGTGGGGTTGTATGGGGTACTTAGCCGTAGACGGTGTATTACATACAGTAGATGTCACTTGGTACATCCCCAAGCAGACAGGAGTACATCATGGAAACTAATCAGTGTACTGCTGTGAATGGGGTCCACAACACAACATATTGTAGCCATCTAAAAAAGTGTCAAAGTTAGTGTATGCTATGTTGGGAGTATTTTCAATGCTTTACCTTAACGTCAGACAGTGATTTCCAATGGGAAAATTAAGCCGTTACATTGCTCTCTCCCAAGCCAGACTCCATTGAGAAAAACAGTGATATAACACTGCTGAGCACAGGAGCTGCTGGTCTACCACTGCCTCAGATATTTATTTTGTTTGTGTCATTGAGTGGCTTTGGCATTCAGAAGGGTTAGTCTGGATTCACCAAAGTCACACTACTTCACAAACTAAGTAGCGATAGACCAGCAGCTCCTGTGTTCATCAAGCTAAAATTGCTGTTTTTGTCAATGGAGTCTGGTGGTTCTCACAAGAGCATGGATGAGCAACTAAAGCTGTTAACAGCTTGGTTGGCCATTGGTTGAAGTGTACACTACGTTAAGGATATGTTCACTGCTTTACCTTGCCGCAGACAGCTTCAGTTCCCCATCTATGCTCTCATCAAAGCCACCAAACTCCATTGACAAAAACAGTAATTTTAGCTCACTGAACACAGGAGCTGCTGGTCTACCTTGATCACTTAGTTTGTGTTATTGTGTGACTTTGGCGAATCCAAACGAACCCTTTTAAACACCACAGTCATACAGCAAGACAAACTTAACTGATGGAGGCAGCAGTGGACCAGCAGTGTCTGTGTTCAGTGATGTTAAATTCATGATTTTATCAATGGAGTCTGGTTTGGAAGAGAGGAAGCTTTCTTTTGGAAATTGCTGTCTGATGGAAAGGTAAAAATGTGGTATACACTTAAACTAATACTGATTTCTTAAGGTAGGACTTCTTTTTTTAAGTGACTAAAATATGTTTTGTTGCTGACCCCATCCACAGCAGCACATTGCTTCGCTTCTGTGTCGGACTCCGGTCTGCTTCTCCAAACTGGGGGCGTGCCGACTGACATCTACTGTATGTCATAAACTCACTATGGATATGTGACCTCATGCGACCCCACTTCAAAAACATCCACACTATTCCTTTAACGTGCACTTTGAACATTACACAGAATCATCCGCCATCAGTCGAGCTCACTTTGAGTTTTTTTAATAACCTTTTTTTTCTGTCCATGAAAGATAGAACATCAGAGAGCAACCCACAAAGAACAGATGACAAAATTCCATCTCCTTTTAAAAATCGACAAAAATATAATGAAAGAAGACATTCCCATCATTGCAGCGACAGGTTGAAAAATGGCAAAGTAAAAAGGCGACACAGTTACTGAGGTGCCGAAGCCAACAATTCCTCGCAGCTTAAAATTTTCAATCTGAAAATTGCCTCGCTGAATAAGCTTTTCCACAACGTATACAACAGCCCGCAGAAGAAAAAGGGGGAAAGAACAGAGTACACAAGCAAGGGATAAAATTACCTTTGTACAAAAATAGATCTTTTTCCAAGTGTTTTTTTTTTCCTTTTCTTTTTTCTTACTTGAACATTTTACCATCTATGCAACAAAGAAAGCAGTGATTGTGTCACAAGCTCAGCTTTTTCCTGATTACACTGTTTGAACATACAATTGCCAAGCAACACATACATTTTGGAGGGTTTAAAGTCTTAACCTTTTGTTTTTTTTTTCTCTTTCATGGTTTTTGAGGTCCCATAAACTGCTTAGAAGCTGGTTCTTTTGAGTTTAAAACTGCTGCGATTCTGCTGGTTGATCAGGATTGATTTTTTTTTTTATAAAGTCATGATCGAAATGCAAAAAAAACCCCTCAGATATGTATGGAAAAAAACACCATAAAACTCTGAGTCTTACTGTGTGGAACAGTTTGGTCTGAAAGACTTGTCTCCCTCTTTCAATATTGGAAATACTCAAGGAACAGATCTGTCGATATATATTTATAAATATATACACATATACATATTAACAAAATATAGCTTTATGTTATAAAGCATTCATGTAGGTGATCATTTCATGTAGGTGATCCTTTCTTTATCTCGTCAAAAAGATCCTTGTCTGTCTATTTCCTGCAAGGGCGGGGCAGGGGGGGAGTGCGAGCTCACATCATCCAATTTATGGCTTTAAGAGACCTGCAATCACCAATCACAGTAAACTAAGAGGAGGAGACATCAGACTTAAGGGAGCAGGAGGTTAATCATTTTAAAATTGGGTCACCCAGTCAAGAAACAAACGTTTGCTTCATTAATATCTGCTTTTCTTGGTTAAATTCTGCAACGTTCCTTTAAAAAAAATCAGCAGATTTAGCCCAGTCTTACAAAAAGAGTAAAGCTTCTCTTTGCCGTAACACTCACATTGAAACAAATTAAGATTTCTTTTGTTTTAACAGACAAACACGTATAATTCTTCCAGAATATAAATACTGTAAACTGAGCTCAAACTGGCAGTCAATACTGTCACCTGGATAGTTCGTAATAATACAGGCCACCTCACTGAAATTGTTACGTGAATAAAACCACAAGCCAATAGGTCATACTGAAGTTATTGCTTCTTCTTCTTTTTTTCAGTTTTAACAAGCACAGACACTGAGGTTTTGTCTTATCGAAACAAACACTGATGATAATAGCGCAGCGAGAAAGTGCCATCTTTTTTTGTCTGATTAAATACTTGTAGAAAAATTCAAGTAATGTTGCAACGCTGCTTCTCTTCCACTAGAGGGAGCTCGCAGCTCTTCAATAGCCGCCACATCCCTCACTGTCCTTACTCAAATTGCTCTCTGAGAGTGACTGGTGTCGTCCTGCTTGTGGCGAGTGTACAGTATGTGACATTTCAGAGCTGGCATCTGAACCCATTCTTTGTTTTTTCCTCATAAGGAAAGAAATCATTGGGCACCTGGGGATCAGTTTCACAGAGATGGATTAACATTTGCAAAGTTAACCCCTTCTGTGAAACTGGACCCAAATCATGGTTTAAAATAAAATGATACATGGCCACTGGTGTCATCAGGAGGATATGGAGTCCTGACAGTGCCACTAGAACAATTAAAGACTTTTCCTTACTTAATTATTAACATTTGAATATGCTGACAAATAAAATTAGCTTTAAGGGCGGATCAAAGCTCCTGCTGCTGCTCCGAGGGTCGGACTTTATTTTTGAGTGACACTTTAAATCAAAGCAATCACAAACTGGAATTAGTAGATTCATAGTGATACACACCGCTAAAAAAATTAAGGGAACACAGGGATGCAACTCTTGCTGGACCAACCTCAACTTAAATTTTCATGTTGACTTTGGTGATCTGTTATATTCCAATAAATGGCAAAAAATGAAGAACCAAATAGGGGTGGGGGATTGATCCTGAACAATTTCTTGTTTTTCTTTATCAACTTTGACCATTTCTGATCCATTCGTGAATTTCTTAATAAAAAAATGTATATGTTTGTGCTACAAAATGTCCTAAGATTTAATTTTAGTACACCTTCATTGTATTTAATATTTTTGTCTTTGCATGTGTGTGTTTTTTATTTTTAAATTTTATTTTTTAGTTGTTGTTTTTTTCCCCTCCCTTTTTTCGTATGTTTTTGGATAAGTATCTTCGTCCCTTTACTTACTTTTTTCTTTCTAAAATAATATTTTCAAATGCATGAATGGAAGCCTGACACATTTTTTTTTTTGTAATTTGAGCATATGTTAATAAAAGAAAATCTAAAAAATAAACACTTCACACATCAGATCTCAATGAAGATTATGAATTATTGATAAATCCTGGAAAATGACTGTTGAAGTGGCACACTCAGGACACCATACACTTAAGACCATTAATCATTTCAGTCTGTCACAGAATGATGAAAACACAGTGCTCGGTTTTTTTTAAGGTCCAGATAATGTCAAGGTGTTTATGAAATAGTGGTGAATAAGCAGATATAGAAAGGCAATTCTTGATTCAATGTCCTTAAACTCTGCTATGCTCCACTTTTCCATAACACACTTTCGACTGAGGGCTGAATAAACCAGTATAAAATGACTATTACCTTTCTGAATAGTGGGGATATAACCTAAATAAGCCATACTAACATGCACCCGCTCTGTAGACAATCTTTGGAAATGCACTCAATGCATAGTTTTGCAGCAGCTGCAGCATTTAGAGAAAAGGATAGGAGGAGGGACAGAATAAGCAGAATATGGGCATAAAGCATATTTATACATAACATGGAGATAGCTAACATTTCAGTTCAACTTGTATGACACTTGGTTGTCCAGAGAAGTGCAGAGAGAGCAAGTGTGTGTGTCCCTCTGAGGAGGAAAACAACTGGGGCATCCCTGATGGAGCCTGGGCCAAATTCCACCTCAGAGGTCTGTTACATCAACATCAGCTCTCCGTTTAGGAACCCGACTCCGCTGTCATGAGGTTAAGTGCCAAGTAACAAACAAATAAACAAATAATGGCTCTGCTGCAACGGCGAGCACTTCTCCCGCACACTGTGGATGGTTCAATGAATGTCAAGAACTGAAGGTCGGAGGGATGGAAACAGAGGTAATTGTGCATTGCTGTTGTTAAAATCAAAACTGAAAATAACGTCAATACTGTATACGGTTGTAACTTTCTGTACAAGTAGATATGAGGTGTCTTGAAAAAGCTACTGTAATACCTGCCACATGGAGGCGGAGGGATTTCTGAGTGTGGAGGTGTAAATGGTGTGCTGAAATTCACATGAAATGAGAAGCGGAGAGGTTGGAGAAGGGACAAAAAAGGAGCTCAGAGACTGGCGAAACGACGACGTTTCCCCACAGATGAGACCGTGCACTCAATTTCTAGCCGTCCACTTTCGATGTGATCACCTGTGAGGTTGCAACAAAGGCCAAATGTTTAAAATAGGATGACAGAGGTTGTTTCTGCGCCTGCTGGTAGCCGTTCAGAGCATCATGTAGCATAAAGCTAATGTGTGGCTACTTGACAACAGCCTGCATCTTCATGTGTGCAGAGGGCCCGCACAGATTGTACATAACAAGCTCTCCCAACTCTCGTCCAATCGATTAACATTAACTGAAGGGCTGATTAGTGAACTAACACGTCGTCCTCCCCGGTGTTGCACAGTGCTAATAGAGTAAGACATGGTTGTATTTGTTGGAATTGGGCAGAGACCTGAGGTTTTTGAGCACTTGCAGTCATGTTAACCCACCTCTGAGTTCTACTCCAGAAAGCTCACACTTCAAAAACAGCTAGTGCAAGTCTTGACGTGTTCAGTCGAGTCAGGCAGAACAGACGAGTTCCTTGAAGCAGACGTTACCGTCCCCCCACCGTCCCTCCCCGAAGTAAGTTCAGTCCTGAAAGAGCGAGAGAGGGCTCAGGTCCAAGTCTAGACAGCCCGAGGCTCTCCCAGTCCACGATTGTCCCGATCACAACGCTGAGTGTCCAAAATATGACATCACCGCCGTTATTTTTTTTTTGTTGTTTCTTTTTTTTTTTTTTTTTTTCAAAATACCTGCAAGCATAACTGTTGGTGTTAAAACCTGATCATCTCTGCTTTTTCTCGTCAAGGTGTAGGAAAAGCAAGGATGAAGACGATGGCTCAATTCGTTTCTTTTGTCCTCTGTCCGACCTTATTTCAGTCCGCTGTTGTCACTCGTGTTGCCGTGTGATTTTCATATATATATATATTTCTTATTTATATATTTTTACAAGGTATAAAACAGACCCATAGACATGATGAATTCATTGTTTTGAAACACATCAAAGGGAGAGGGGGTAGGGAGGGATGGGAGGAAGGGAGAGGTTCTCCATCCAAAAATCGTCATGTGATCTGTCCCTTGCTGGAGACGGGATTTCAAAAAGGACCCTGCTCCCGATCCAGGGCTGGTGGGAGATGTTGGGGTTTGAGGGGGGGAGGGAGAGGGTGAGGAGGGCTCAACCCTCTCTGCTATTATGTCATTTGATGCGGGGCTTCTAGCATCTCCATGAGGAACGTGTCGATGGGCGTGTCGCCGATGAGCTTGAAGAAGAACAAGTGCTCCAGACACTTGAGGCCAATGGAGCGAAGCGCTGGTAACCGCAGCAACAGTTTGGCAAATCTGTCACAACACAAGACTCAAATTAGATGCAAGACCAAAATAGCACTGTACATCTGACAAGAAGAGGAGGGGATGGGGGAGATGATCCTGAGGCAAAACAATCTTAGAACAAACTTATGCCTGCCACATATACATATGGCAGAGGTGGACCTGAGTCTACTTGGGAAATTCCTTCCAAGTTCCTTAAAAGAATACATATGACCGTACCCATCTGTGCCCGAGATGTTACAGACCCGGCTCAGTGCATGTCCTAGGCAAGAGAGATATTTTATGAACCCAACAATTCATTAAAATTGCCGCTAAAATTGCCATTCTAATGCTAAAAACACTTACAACATACTGATCTGTTTAATAATGTTTCAGATGTCTTTTTTTATTTCAATTCATTGTATTGTCACTTGTCATGTTGTTGTTGTGATGTGAGCTGCTGTAACACCCACTGGTGACAAGTTTACCCAGCTTTTGGGCCCCAGTAATGGGGCAGCTGTGGCTCAGAGGTAGAACGGGTCGTCGACGCTTAGACCTCCAGCTCCTCCAGTTCCATTGTCTAAGTATCCTTGGGCAAAATACTGAACCCAAAATTGCTCCCAATGGCTATTCCATTGGTGTGGGAGTGCTGAGTAGCAGGTGGCAGGTGGCAGGTGTAGGTTATCCTCAGCCACCAGTGTGTGACTGTCAGTTAAATGTGACATGTATTGTAAAAGCACTTTGAGTGGTTGTACGACTAGAAAAGCGCTATACAACTGCAGTCCATTAGTCCATTCCCCATGCAAGAACTACTTGTATGGACAAAGTCATTCTCAAGTGGCATGCACACATTTTTGCTATGGAAGAAAATTCTGTAATGCTTGATTTACGTTTGTGCAGTTCAGATAGTTTACGCAAAAAAGGAAGATGGATCAAACCAAAATACCTGCCAAGAGTGAGGAGCCACTTTGTATGAATAGAGAGCAAATGAGTACGTGTGTCAGAATGTGCTCAGTCACTTTTGTGTTTGTATTCATACCTGCCAGGCTGGTCGGGGTACTTCTGTTTGCAGTAGGCCTCTAAAGATGCATACACTTTCTCTCTCAGAGCTTCTACCTCACCTGGATTGGACAGACCTTTAGAGTCTATGGAGACACAAAAATGAAAAACAAAATAATTAACAGCAACTCTGCATGTTTACACCCCTTTTTTACATTCTTCTTCACTTTCTCAAACTTTGCTAAATGCTGTTACTTTTGGTGAGTAAAACTAAATGCAAATGCCTTGCTCAAGGCCTTGCAGTTGTTTACAAGGGAGAGCAGAGCCTTACTAACTTACAAGTTGAGTTTTAACCTCGCAGGCTCATTGTGGACGTGTGTCGCCACATTCTGGGTTAGTCCAATTAGGACTGTGCTAATTTAAGCTTCACTGGAGGACTCTAACAACACAAACACTTCATTGATTAACATTTCTGATGAACAAAGGGTCACACAATTGATCAACAATGAATGAACATTTGTTAATGGCTGAATTCAATCACACAGTGTGGGAAAGGAAGGACTGAGGGCCTTTTTAGCTTTGCAGTCCCGCCGCCCACTGCCCCCACCGTTGCTTTCTTTCGTCAGTCCAGTCTTGTGAACCCCTAATTAACAAGGAATCAGGACGAGATGTGAACCCGGGGGCCAGTAGGCCTGGATGTGGCCTGAACAAAATGTGGAACACAGAGGATCAGTTTGTCTGGGGTGAGCAGATCCAAAGTGGCCCCAGAGGGACAGAGGAAGGCTCCCACACTGAGTCATTAAAAACCTGGGTCACATTCATGGGTTGGTTTAGTTTACTTTGGTGCCATGTGGATGAGGTTTCAATACAGCAAGAACAGCACACTGAGAGCAGGAGTGACACATGCCTTGGCAAGACATAGGCTTCAATTAAAGAGAACTCGCTGTCTTCTTTGACCAGATATTTGCGGGAAATTCCATAAAAAAACAAAGAAGGATGTGGTATCAACTCTTAGTTGTGTTATAATAACATTTTTGATAAATTCCAGTCTCTCATAAGGGTCACAAACAACAGTCTGATTTGTGGTGATACTTGTAAATGTTCTATTTCATTGCTTTAGACCTCATTGCTGCTTTTGACACTATTGAACTATTATCAAGCAATAGACTAAATCAGAGTGTAGATATATCTCTAAGTGCTCTTAAAGGACTTAATTCAGACCTCTGAAATAGAAATTCTCTTTCTTTTCAGTCATTATGTTTCATCTTCAGCTGCAGTGATGTGCGGGGTACCACAGGGATCTATCCTTGGTCCCATTTTGTTTTTCCCATTTCAATAGGGTATCCTATCACTATTATGCTGATGACAGTAAATCTACTTGTACTTTAAGCTAGATAATGTTAGCTGCCTGGGCAGTTTAATAGTGTGCTGAACTGCTACTAAGGAATTGAGGACTTGTAATGTGACGTTGCAAGCTAATTACAACAGTTCATTGGGCCACTGGCAACTACAATAAAATCTCCAGCCAGAGATCTAGGTTATCACATTTAATTGAACCTTGAGGCACATGTCAACAATCTCAATAAATACTGCTATTTCCACCTTAAAAAATAATATCAAAATCAAATCAATTTAACCTTTTCCTGACTTAGAAAGGCTAATTTATGGCTCGTCTTTTTGCATCTTGACTATTTCAATGCATTGTTTACACGCCTTCAGCTGGTGCAGAATGCTGCCCCTCATACTCGTATCTCATATCACCCCACTGATTCTTTTAATAAACACAGTTTGGCCCCCAGTTATATTACCAAACTTCTGACTACCTATGCTCCAAGTTTTAACCTGATATATTCAAGCCTACCCTTGCTAGTTGGCCCTAGGTCAAGGCTGGTGACCAAGGGTGCCCAGGCTTTTTCCCCATCAGGGCCCCTAGGCTCTGGAATTCTCTGCCTAAGGAGATTAGGCTTGCCAGCACATTACCTGTTTTTAAATCAATATTTCAAACTTATTTCTAGTTTTTGAATAGTTGTATTTCCCTTTGTTCTATTTGCCTTTCTGCACACTGTTTTTCTTAGTTCTTGTCATTGTTTTCATCACTGTAACTACATTTTTACTGTTTTTTTTCTCGATCAAATACGCACTGTATCAGCTTTTATTTTGGGCACTCTCCCTCAGCGCTGTGCAGAAGTGGAAGCACATCCACTTTACAAGTCTCAATTTCTCAAGAGAAGTCCAAAGTCAAGTTCAAAGAAAACACAGGCAAAGTCAAAATCCAGTTCCCAATTCTCAAATTACATTTATGAGGTCAAGCTGAGTCACGAGCCCGAAACTTCAAGCGACACTCCACCCAAAATCTAACGGTATCAAAACTCTCTGGCTTGAAAGGTTGATGTAAAACATATATAGTTTCCTCACTCCAGAAATCACCTCAGATTCAGTCATTTACAAAGGATCCCACTGGTGTCATATTTTTATTATTTTCTCTTCAGCATAATTCTTCTTGCTCCATATGCTCAGCACATTCCGAACATATGGCTGACTACACAGATTCTGTGCCCCACTATCGAAGCCATAAAGCTCCACTTCGTATTTTCATCCACACTGTGGTGAAAATATGAACGTTTGCTAAATAGTTAGAGACCTGATAGGCAGTGGAGAGAGTGGGTCATGCTGCGAGGGTGGTTTAAGAAGTTTCTTTGGATGTTTTGACAGTTTTCTGCCTACTGTGATAAGTTGTTGCCATTGGAATCGGTTGTAACCGAATCCCGACTCAGTCAATACGGAAACTGCCAACTTCTTACAGCATCTGTGAGGCATAATACTGGAGGAGAGTTTGATACTCAAATACAAATTTTAGGTATCATAAGCTTCGAGTCCTTAATGAGTCATATTTTATGTTAGCATTAATAGTATCAGGTGATTGTTTTTCTTGGTTGTAATCAGCAACAGCTGCAGTCCTACAGCCCATATGGATCTTTTAATAAAAGCCCCACTGCACCAACACATATTGGTGTTAAACAAGTATTGCTTCGAGAGAACAATCACACATTGGGAGCATGTCAAAATTGTTGTGGATACATGTAGCTTTGTGCGAATAATTTAAAGTCAAATCATCACCAGTTAGACTACTTTTCTCCTTCCCCTCCTACAGCAGCTTGTAGAAATTTACCTGATGTGTTGTATTCTGATTGTCAGCTGATTGTTTTGCTTCAAAGTGAAATTGAAACTAGAATAAAAAGACCAAACACCTAATTCACAGCTCCTTTCAACTGCCACAGCAAATGCACATCCACTGCACATATTTTTATAGTTACCTGGGTTGAAAAGGACTATAGCTCGAAGGCACCCCAGTTCTGTCTTATCCATCTGCATGTCCCTCATCTTTGACACCAGTTCTGTGAGCACTCTGCACAAAAGAGATAAAAAAAAGAAAGTCAGAAATGTGGCTCATTCCAAGTCAGGCACAGTTTTTAATCCTTCTTGGCTACTACAGTATTTCTGTGTTATATCAGACAACCAGAAAGTGCTAGAAAAAGTTAAGATCACAGGAAACCATTTGATTCTAATTGGTACATTTTTTTTTGCAAATGACACACTATGCTTAATGTGAATTACCCAGATCCAGACTGGGACATTAAAAATATGTTTTAAATACTATCCAGCTCAAATCTATTTAAAAACAAATACACACAAGCGTGTGCTCAGCCCACATAGGCGCAGTTAGATCAGTGGAAAAGTTTACAACCCTGCAAAGCAATTATATTTAGTACAAGGTTTTCATAAAAGGAAAGCCACAGAGTAAACACAAGTTGTAACCTAACACCAGCACTCCCACTGTCTGTGTGTGACATCACTGGTGGGAGTGCCGGTGCGTGGAGTCGCTCGAACTCCTCACCCCTCTTTGACTCGGTCACACCCTCTCCGTGGCGCTCTTTATTTTCCCTCTCACTCCGTTTCTTTCACCCCCATCCCGCCCCCCTTCGCGCTCTCCCTCTCTCTCAGATAGTAAAGTCAATTGTGGCTCTTAGCTCATTCTAATTCAATTTGTTCCGAGGAGGAACAACAGGGCTAGAACAAAAAAAAAAAAAAAAAGGGAAGAAAGAAGAGACTCAAGTGTTTAAGTTAATCAGTGTCTTCATTTGTATGGTGAAGAGAGAGGGGAGTAGATAAAGAAACACTATCAGTTCTCTGCATCTTAATGCTTGCCACAGTTAATGCCAGAGATGGAATATGTCCTGTGGCTGTGAACGCCGATGATTGAGCACAGAGGCTTGGTGATCACAGGGGCAGAGGCACAAGAAAAGGGAAGAATAAGAGACGGATATTCAAAAGAGAGACTGCTGTTAATACAAGTCTGATGACAGCACCTGTAACTGCCAGGTGCGTCTGATATATGATTCCTCAGGGGCATGTACGCTACTACTGCAATTTTCATTTTCAAAATCTGAGCCAATCACCTGCTAACAAATAATACTGATAGATAAAAACACAGAATATGTTTTGCTTGTATCTTCTATAACTTCCCAAATAGTGTTTCTCAGCTGAGCTCAAGGTGTGATGCTGCAGAACAAGACGCCGCAGAGTCCTGCGAGGTTTCTGTCTGTCAGACAGTGGAAATGTCAATAACAGTCACCAGGGTGATTCCTGCGCACGCTCGACTTCCCTGTCAGGGAGTCGTGCATGGATTTCTTCGATTTTGACATTTTTTCTGAGCAGTTCAGTGTTTCTGTGAGACCCCTGATGCGTACAGGTGTACATATTTAATATACTAGGGTAAATCAATAGTTCCTGTGCTGCCTTGCCTTTCATGACCTCAAGTGTGGGTGTAATATTTCAGTGGAAGAAGCCAAAATGCCATATGCTGCAAAATATGAAACCACTTGCTAATAAGACAAACTTATTCAAGGGTGATTGCAGCTGTAATTAATGCTTTATTAGTGGTTAATACATGATTAATTAAGGCTTTATAGAGCAGTAATAAGGCGTTAATAACTTAAGCTCCTTAGAAAGACAAAGTAAGTCATGCTGCTGAAGGAGACTTTTCACAACCCTTTATTATTAATGGCTTATCACTGATTGAAATAACATTAATGAATGATTTATTAACATTAACAAAGCATTACTTACATCTAAAATATGGCTTAAATTTAACACAATTAACAAATTATTTATTAAGGCTTTATTTATCAGTAATAAGGCATTAGTAACTTAAACTCAAGCTACTTCAAAAACAATGCAAGTTATGCTGCTAAAAAAGACTTCACAACTTTGCAAGTGTAACATTGTTATTAATGGCTTTTTACATGGAATTACTGATTAATAAAACATTAATGAATGATTTATTAGCATTAACAAAGCATTACTTACATCTAAAATATGCCTTAAATGTTAAAACTTTCTAAGGCATTATTTATCGGGGTTTATAAGTTTCTAATAGTTAACAAATCATTTATTAGGGCTTTATAGATCAGTAATAAGGCATTAATAACTTAAGCTTAAGCTATTTAAAACACAATTAAGGCTTTAAGGCTTTATAGATCAGTAATAAGGCATTAATAACTTAAGCCGATGCTACTTGAAATCACAGTGCAAGTCATGCTGCTGAAAGACTTTTTGACAACCTGGCAAGTGTGAAGTGGTTACTAATGGCTTATTACTGATTGACAAAATATTAAGGAGTGAATTATTAACATTAACAAAACATTACTTACATCTAAAATATGCCTAAAATTTCATTTCCAAAGACATTATTTCTAGGGGTGTATAAGTTTACAATGGTTAATGAATGATTTATTAAGGCTTTATAGATCAGTAATAAGGCATTAATAACTTAAACTTATGCTACTTAGAAACTACTTATTATCAGTGGCTTGTTATTGATTGGTAAAACATTTAAGAGTGATTTATTAACATTAACAAAGCATCATTTACAACTGCTGAAGTATGCCCAAAATGTTACCACGTTTAACACTCACACAAAGGTGTGCTTAAGGTTTTAATAGTTAACAAATGATTTATTATTGCTTAACAGATCAGTAATAAGCCATTAATAAACTCATATAACCCAAAGTTATGCTGCCAGCATTTTTTCACAAGTTGTTGCTATTCATGGCTTATTACTGACCTATAAAAATTTATAAATGGTTTATTAACCACTAATAAAGCCATTAGTTAAAATTTATAAACCACTTGTTAAAAAAATGTTTTAATGTTATTTAAAGGGGTAGCAGTAGGTTGCAGAGAGTTTAATAATATGCTAATACCAACCTGTCAAAGATGGCTCCCACTCCGGCACTATGGGCGCTGTTGCGGTGGACGTGCAGCCCCGTCGCCAACAGGATACCGTCTTTAATCGCTATCGAGCGGTGCGAAAATGATGCAATGAGGAGTTCATTCCAACCTGCGGCAGAGACGGGAAGAAGGATTGAGGGAAAGTATGAGGGAAAAAAAACAAAAAACAGGCAAATCCCGGTACAAAAGTTCACACAGCATTCAAGCAAAATGAAACTGACAACAAAGGGGGAGGGGGGGGGGGGATTCCAATGAATCAATTAAGCTGCGCAGTAAAAGCGTGCAGCTTTCTCAGACACAGGCATCAGGTTATTACGAAGACATTTGAATCATGCTTTCTGAAGAGACAAGCGTGTAAAAGGGATGAACTGCGCCTGCCATCATAATAAAGACAACAGGCTTGATGTGCCAAAGCAGCGGCTTGACACGGGGAGCACTGAAGACACAAGACGCTGCCTTTTGAGTGACAGGGCTCCTTTAACTGTTCTGCCTGGCAACACTCGCCTCTTCTCCCCCAGAGTTGGGTATGAGAGGAGCTGGGATGCTTTTATCTGTGATACAGCAGAACTAAAGCGGTTATTTATAGAAAACCTGAGAGCCGAGAAGAGACGAGCTCTCCAGAATAATGTCTCTCTCTCGGCTGAAGTCTCTCCATCATTGTATGTGCGAAGGATAAGGAGTGATGGGAGGATATTTTTTTTTTCAAGGATGGGTGTGTAATAGCGTTTTCTTTCCCTCAAGGTGGATTTTGAATATAATGGTGTAATTTGGAGCGACAGGCAGGCAACAAGGGCCATGTGTTGAAAGAACCCAGAAGACCTTCGTGCATGTGATGTTAGTGAATGTAAGAGAGGTGACAGATGATTCACTCTGTGTTTTACTGTGGCTGCCTCTGTGATCCCGCGCGGTTAGCTTGATTTTGCACATACAGGAGATACATACAATGAGCTGTAATGACCTTGGAGGGTCTTACTCGTTTCCAGTCACATGACCAAGACAGTTAATTATGGTTATGGCCAGATCAGTCTATTAAAGTTCTGTCTCGCTTAGATTCTTCTACCTAGATACAGACAGAGAGCCAGCACCAGCATCTGTTACGCAGTGTGTTTCCTTATAGAGGGTTTCTTAACATGTTTCTGGGTTCATCTGTCTATAGTCGAACATCATATCTACTGTTGTTCAGGATAATACGAATTACAAACCTCTTATTTTAAGATAAAACAATGGTTATTAAACTGGCATTCAACAGCAACATATCCAATGGTTCTGGTTAGCAGGCTGTTAAAGTCTTATGGAAGCTGTTGCTGCTGAATGCATGACACTATGGCACATATGACACTGTTTAAAGGACTCATTCAGATCTCTTTAAGTCAGGTTGTATGAGTTACATGTCCATAATCAGTGTATGACCTACAACAGATGTCAGTAAGCACGCCCACAGTTTGGAGAAGCAGACAGGTGTACTGAAATGGAAGCTAAGCAATGCACTGCTGTGGATGGGGTCCACAACACAACGTATTGTAGCCATCCAAAAAAGTCCCACCTAAAGAAATCAATATCAGTATAAGTGTATGCTATGTTTAGAGTATTTTCAATGCTTTACCTTAATGTCTGATTTCCAACCGGAAAATTAAGCCTTTATGTTGCTCTCTTCAAAACCAGACTCCATTGATAAAAACAGTAATTTAACATAGCTGAACACAGGAACTGCTCGTCCACTGCTGCCTCCATCAGTTAAGTTCTTTGTGTTACTGTGTGACTTCGGTGTTTAAAAGGGTTCTTTCAGATTCACCAAAGTCACACAAAAACACAAAATAAGAGATCGAGGCAGACCAGCAGCTCCTGTGTTCAGCAAGCTAAAATGACTGTTTTTGTCAATGGAGTCTGGTGGCTTTGTCTAGAGCATAGATGGGGAACTGAGGCTGTTAAAGCTTCTCTGTCAGTAAAGCAGTGAAAATATTCTAAACACTTAGCGGTCTCCAGCCTGCTTCTCCAAACTCAGGGCGCCCGTATGGACATCTACTCTATGTAATACCCTCGGTATGGATAACTTCCCTTATGCAACCCCACTTCAAAAGATCTGAAGTATCCCTATAAGCCCCTCATTGACAGACCTGCTCGTAGGAGGATGACCTGGTCGTCCAGTGGCAGCTCCGAGAAGTGGGGGATCCTCTTGGCCCACTCCACCAGGGTAAAGAGCTGTTTGTCAGCCGCCTGACAGATATTTGTCACTGGGTCATTGGGCTGTAGGAAAGCAGAGACGGACAAACACACTGGAAGTTAGTAATTCAGGTAATGCACGAGTTAAAAAAAGGTGTCATGTTTTTGTTTCAGCCTGTGTGTCTCCTTTGGCTGAGAGCCTGGTGTCAGGTTGAGCCACCTATCAACACACACATATCACACTTACATGAGTACTATGCTATGAGTAATATCCTCTAAAGAGGAGCAAGTAGGAAGACAAAACAAACAGTGATTCTGTCCCAGCTTGTGGAGGAAATACCCGCAGAGAGCTGCCGGTGCACAAAAAGGAAGAAAAAAAAAAGACTTTCACCAAGTAGGCTTTTTCTACAGGGACCTTTTAGCCGACACACAAATCAGCCTCTCAGACAGCTAGTTGAGCTCAAGAGGCTCCTCCTGACACTCCACTGACACTTCACAACATAACAAGCGCTTAGGAGCTCAAATGTGACTTAGTTATCAGGCTGGGCAGGCCTTGAGAAAACTCAGCAAATGATTATGTGTAATGATTATTTGTATTTGCACACTGTAAAATATAGAATGATGAGTGTGTGACTTCTCTCCAGGCCGCATGCCTGAAACAAATGTTTTCTATTTCAAGTTGTTAATACATTTTCAAAAGATTAATTGCTATTTAACATTTCTGAGTGGGAAAAAAAAATCACGATTCTAATGAATGATAAAAACAAGCGGTTCTCGGTAGTGGTAGTGGCTAATGGACGTCTCTGTACATTGTCCATTTAGTGCCCAAAATAGGAACACTGACTGGGTCCTACATGAAATTAAAGGTGAACCAAGGAGAAAGCTCCAATCTTTCATTGATTTCACTAAATTAGATATATTTCAGCCTTAAAGAGAGATGAGCATAAAAGCTGGAAGAAAGACCGGAGAAGGATCTTTCACGGACATATCTGTTATTTTAATGCACTTTATGTAAGTCATAATGTGTATGGTTTTAGTAACCCTCTCTTCACTTGGGATGCTAAATAGTGTCAGGTGTAATCTCAGTTGTGATGAATGTCGTACATTTACTGTTGCTGCGAGAGCAAGTAAAATGACTTGAATTGCAGAACAATCTACCTCTTTACAAAAACGGTTACGCTCAATGAAAAGACTTCCTGTTCCTCTTGAATCAATTCAACACACATTTACAATTGACCAAGGCTGCAGATAAGATTTTCTACATCAATTATGGTCTTGTAAAACATTTTTCTACACCAGGAATTCAGGTGCTTAACATTGAATTAGTGTGTCTATTCACAATGTTTATTTTCTTGTTGGATTTTAAGAACATGAGTCTATAGAACACTGATGTCATCCTAGGAGAGCTGGCTCTACGTTCTCTTTGTCCGTTATGTTAGTTACCTTGCTGAGCATGTATAAAGATGATTATTTCTGTGTGCAATTTAAGTGCCGGTCCAGAGACAAGGACTGCTCGTCCTTAACTGTCCTGATACATCAGATTGGAAGACATTTTTCTTTGACCAACAGGGAATTCATGAGCAGTAGTGGAATACTAATGCCACACACATACAGTGTGACTACTTCCCAAAAATGTAAATCCATCTGGGCAGAGAAAGAAAAAAAATCCGAAACAATGCTTTAATTCTCTGACGAGTAATTTACCATCATCCCAGGAGCACATACCCTTGATATGTACAGTACGTGTGTGTAAACAAAGGCTTTGTGCACACAGTTTTGTGCATAATTTAAAATCAAGTAAACATCCTTAAATTCTAAGTATCCCTGTGTGAACTCGCACTACCGACAAAAACAGTCAGCAACTTCTCCCCAACTTCCTTCTACCAAATCCCACCGATCGATGCTAAAAGCTCGGAGGATCCCGACATCAACTGCAGCTCTCAGGAGAAGATTAGTTCAAGATGAAGAAGAAAACATCCCTCCACTCACACTCTCCTTTTCTAACATGCGGGCCAAAGACTATCCCTCCCTCTCCTCCACGTTCTCTCCCCACGGTGTGAAACTCACACTGACTGTACAGTATCACAGATATGAAAAACTTAAACCAGACACAAAGCCTACGCTGTTTTGAAAACTAAAAGTCGTTTTTTTTTTTTCTTTAGGGGGAGAAAGAAAACAGGCATCTTATGAATATTTCAGCATCTGATCTCCGTGGGAGATGTGGACGGCGCGGCTCAGCGCGACAGTTTTTCGTGAGCTGCGCTTCCCCTTTAAAACACATAAACAGATTCAGCTAATTCATTCCAAAGAAGCAGCTCCAGCCAAAACAAAGAGCAACAAAAAGGGGCTTCAGTGTGCGCCACGGTCCAGCCACCCCTCCTCGTACGAAAACAAGTCCCAGGGTTCTCGTTAAACATGGCAAGCCTCATGAATGTTGTATGGCTATCTTAGCCATGTTTACACTGACCTGGTTTCTTTGCCCATGTCTGTGGAGATGACAGGGGAGAGGAGCTTACACTTTCCTGCAACAATCCTCCGGCATCACATTACTGTACTTACTGTTCAAGTCACAGAACAGCATTTAGGATGTGATCAGGCCACAATGGAGGAGCCAGCTGTGACCTGCGAGGGAATACCATTAACCTCCATGTTTAAGTACAAAAGTGCACCTGGGAATATCTCATGGTTCGACTATTCGAGCTGCTTCCTCTTCTTGTACTGTGGAGATCACAGCTCAGAGAAGGAGGCAAATACACTTGGACAAAAACTGAACTCGAGACAGAAAACAAGCGAAGATATTCTGCGTTACTGGATGTTAGCCGCTGGATATTAGCAGATTTTTTAAATGCTTGCCACAAATCAAAAGACAAAAACAAACAAACAAACAAAAATACAAAACAACATTGTCTTCATTTTCAGCAAATCAAAGGGTTTATAGCCACACATGCTTCCCCTGCCATGGTCAATCATCCCAGCAACTTAGAGAAATGCCAGGCTTGCATACTGTCCTATGAAATTTTCATCACTTGAGGAGGGGAGACGAAAGATTTGCCTTTCAATTTTTCATTATTCAGCTTGAACCAGACTATACTAGCGTGACAACAGAGGGAAACTTGGGTACTCATACAGATCAGTATGAAAATGAATTACTCAAGTGTCCCACTTTTTTAGATTGAAAAAAGAAACTGTCCTCACATGCTGGAGCGGGGATGAATCATCAGCTAATTATCATCTAAATAACAGCAACACTTCCTGCCTTAAGCTCAGGAAAAGATAAGAAACTAAACCTTTATATAAATTAACACATAGGCGGTGGAACAGTCATCTAGAAATAATGCAAAGACAGGAAGATAGAAGGGAGAATTACATAGAATAGAGGTAAAGAAACCCCCCTGGGATTAGTGAACGATAGCGTCTTCTCCTCTCCCCCTCCTCCTTAGGAAAAGCCCTCTCCCTGTCTGACTGAAGGCACATTACTAACGCCTGTTTAACTCCTGTTCTAGGTCACCATGAGATAAACACACTTTATTCAGGTTGGCCAGACCCCGGCCATTAGACAGTGGCAGTGGCCTATTGACGGTGTATGCTCATGACCTGGGCCCTGTGATTAATTATAGCACGGGGTAGTGGTTCTCAATGGAGACCTCACAGGGGGGGAAGGACTCAGAGAGAAGGGGAGTCCTTGTGGTCAGGACAGCCTAAATGCTGATACTCTGCCAACATCCTGGGCTCCACTCTGGTTAAAAGGTTAGTTTAAAGTAATGCTTTCTTGCTCACTCTTAGTGGCATTTAGCACCATTTTACTTGCCTGGGTTTTAGATACAGTGAAACTAAAATTTTCCACACTTTTCTCAATTTGGAATACCTAGTCCCCTGTGCGCTGCTGTTCTTAGCCCTTTTTTCACAGAGGTCACACTAAAGGGCCGCTACGAAGTCTGTTCTTCATCCCACCTTTGGATTTTTACTCAGGACCAAACAATGGTGGCATCATGTCGCTCCAGTGTGAGGGGCGTGACGTAACACAACAGCGTTGGCCACTAGTGTGACATAGAAGATACGCATTGGCGGCACTTTCTAAACAATAACAAAGACATTAACGTGGCAATACAAGTCTTCTACCGTTCCTGTTATATGGTGACTGATCTCATCCTCTGCTTGAAAGGTAAGGAGTTCCCGGACCTCACTGTTTTCCTAATTTGTGGACATTTTCAGCTATTGTTCTTCTTCTTTGAGTTAGCTGCTAACTGCAACACCCGTGCTGCCTATGATCCTGTCCTGCAGACTGTCCCTTTTATACAGTCGTCAATGTGGCACTGTTAGTACCTCCAATGCCGCCTTAAAGGCAAGACGACTCTGTCCCCATGTTCCGCGATTGTACCTTTTTGAATTTGTCAATTAATTTATTCTTTTCCCCCCCACTGCTGTCCTTGCCACTGCTAACTTTGCTGTTTTACTATGATTGTCACTTCGAGATGTACAGTATCTATCAATGTTTTACTTGCCCAGGTTTTAAATACAGAAAGTATCTAAAATTAAAATCATTGGGATTCCCCAGTCCCAATGGTGAACTGCTGTCATTGTCACTGCTAACTCTGTTGCTGGACTGTGAAAGTCTCTCCTATTGGTATCTAGCAATGTTTGAATTGCCCAGATTCTAGATACAGTGAGTTCCTTAAATTTTGTCCATTCATTTTTTTTTTTTTTTTCCCCCACTTTTCTCTAGTTGGAATGTCCAGTCCCTTGCACACTGCTGTCCTTGTCACCGCTAACTCAGCTGCTGGATTGCGCATTGCTGCAGACAGCCATGTGCTGCATGACACATGGCATCGCTTGCCATTTGTTTCCACCTGCCAGTGATGAAAATCAGCCCGAGGCCATAACCAAGGACAAAAACCCTCACCGGCTTCCCAACATGGCCAACAATGGAGGCAAACATATTCATTTTTTGTGGTGCTCAAACCACTCAAAACACGAGATTTGAAAAACTCAAATCTTCATTCCTTTCAGCTCTATTGTGCTGGGGTGACAGCCAAAGTTTCAGAAGCTAATATCTCAAAACCTCAGTGCACAAAACCCAAATTATCTGCACTGCTAGATGCAAGACCTCTCTGTGTAAGTAAGAAAATACTCTGAATTTGGTTAACGGACCCTTTAAAGATACAAAAACAAAAGTCTTGGCAGCAATAATGAATATCAAGCATGGCACATAACTTCAGGTTCAACAAGATATTCAGGGTCCTTGGTAAATAATGATGCAGCAAGATTGGTGAGCCATAAAACTGACATAATGGATTAGGGCAGGGTTGATCTGGATGAACAGGGACAGTTTCCTAAACCAGGATATATCATGATGTGAAAAATATGTGCAAACTGAAAAAAAAAAAGCTGCAAAATTAAACTGATCCAATCCAAACTGCGCTCTACTGTTACGCATTAAATGTTTCGTACTCTGTGCGTAAAACATTAACAAATTCTGTTACAAAGTTGTCGTTTTGTACTGTAATTACAACTTGAACAGAGTCAGGAATTTGATCATGATATAATCCTGATGTGATTCCACTTAATGATATAAAATTCTCCTCCCTGTATAGCCAGATATCAGAGCTGTTTTCATCTCTTCTGTAGTCTTTTAGAAAACCTCCTCTACTTGGTGTCAGGCAGGCAGCAGGCATCGAGGGACCCACCATGGCTGAGCCCAAACACACTCAGTGCATTAGTGTGTCTGAGCTGCCAGCCGCTCCCCCGTGACTCCCCACTCCTTCTCCCTCTCCCTAATGTCAACGCTCATCTCCTACATTTCCATCTGGCCCCCCAAAATAGCTCCCATTTACTCACATAACAGCCCTCACATTTCTACCTTTTACTTCATAAGACATTTCCCTCCCCTGAAGCAGATGAATCCCAGAAGAAGCCCTCGCCCTCCCCCTCTCCCTCCCTCCCTCATTCAGTCTCACCCTCCGTCCCCTCCTTCCCCACTGCCTGCTTTGGTAGGCTGCTGCACAGCTCCTCTGTTTCTCATGTTCCAGCAGAATTCCTGAGGAAGCTGAGGCTTTGTGGGATGCTTTCAGGAACTGTCTGCCTGTTGCATTATTCATCACTGTTAGTCTCCTCTGTGTCAAAGACAGCCCACCATGCCCAGCTGATACTGACGGGATAGATGAGGAAACTCACAGCTGAGTGAAGGAGCTGAACAGGTAAACCCGTCACCTCCAAAGGGACTCAAAGAGGGAGGACAAACAGTAATCACACCCATCTTTAACAGCAGGCAGCGCGGTGTTGATAAACCTCCTCGCTGTCAGCCTTCGACTCCACAACACAAACATTCAAAAGCTTTATAAAACAATTTTTTTTTACTGGAAAAAAAAAATGAAATGCTTTTCAAACAGTATGTCTCAATTCAAATCTGCGTGACAATTGTAACTGGATGAGGACTATATTTACACATAAAAATGACAAATATGTATGCACCAAGATTTTAAAATGCAGACCAATTTTAAAGTGTGCTGTTTCTCGACTCTGCAATTTAATGTAAAAATGAGATATAAGAGCTACACACAGCTGGAAAAAAAATGTGGACAATGGTGGGACAGCTCCAGGGGGATTTTGGAAAGCAGAAAATAAAGTATAAGCCATGAGGCATAAATCTGAAAAACATTTAACTTTCCCTTTTGGAAGTTTTACTGGCAGTAGCGTTGAGCAGAGTTACAGCTCGATTGTCTTGTATCATTACGTAAAAGTAATAAATAATGCATTAAGTTCTTCCATACTAACTGCAAAAACACTGTCTTCTCCTATATCAATAATAATACAAAATAAGGTGTTCTTGAAATAAGGAACATGTGATCAATGTGAGTCTGTTATTCTTCCCATCGGGACACCTCAAAGTCTTCTACTGTGCCTGTATAATGGCTACTGTGACGCTGTTTTCAAACTGTCATCCATTTTTTACTGTTCATTTGCAGTCCAGTTTTAAGGGTATAGATGGTGAGAATAGAGAATAGAGAATAGAAACCATTTTACCCCAAAAGCAGGAGTAAATATGAGAGAAAACATGCTCCCCACCAGCCCCGAGGTTAAATATAAACACATTACCCCTTGTGTGTGTGTTTATGCATGTGTGTGTGTGTGAGTGCCCGTGGGCATGACCATGTACACAAAGTGATGACTTGTTGCAGGATGACACAGTGTGTGAGTGTTTGCAAAGGAATGTATAAAAATACCAGCTCACCGAGTTGGATGGCACACCAAGGTTGGTCTCGATGTAGGTCTCGGTTTTGGGTTCCACCGCCTGCTCGGCCTCCAGAATCTTCTCCACGGGCATGTCCTCGTTGGCGCAGCTGGTGGACTCCACCTCGTTCTCATTTCTGTCCTTGGCTCGCTGGCGCTCCTCCTGAACGGCTGCATGTAACAAAACTGGTTCCGGTCACTACTGCTGTTTTTTGTTTTGTTTTTTTACAATGTCAGCATGTGTTCAAGAGCACATCTATGTTCATAGAAAGACTCAAGATTACAAGCTAACATAATTTGGATTACTAGCAAGACTTTAGTTTAGAGTTTTATGTGAAAATGACTCATTACAGTACAAGTCAAGTGGTTATTTAACATGAAATTTAATGTTAAATAGATGTGTGGATATTTTTTTATCACATATGCCTTGCACTGATTGTCACCTTTATGCCAGTATCGGACCCAACAATGTCAAATAAGTCTCTTTGTGGACATTGCTAATGGTATTAAAAGTCTGGGAATAACAAAATATGTTGATGGGTCATCCTGCATTTGGGGGCGTATAATTTCTAGTCCAAAGAAAAGCTTTCTCAAATTGTTGTGTACCTCTCCCAATACCATAAATTCTGCCAATTACTGACCGGCATACAGTCGGTACAAGCTAGCTTGAAGTTGTGGCTTGTTGTTGTCTTTTTGGTTGTGCTAACCAACCATGGCTGATAACGCCATCCAAACCAACAATGGCAGAACAGCATCATTACAGAAGCACTGTTGCTGTGTTTGCACTATTAGTGTGGCTAGCACTAGACGTTGCCATTTCAATTCAGCCACCTCTATATTTGCATGTAACGTCAGATTTGCTACAACATTTTTATTGGCTACCGTGACAAGTCCCTCCCTAGTTTGCTGTATTACAGGAAACATATAAATTTGCTCGCACGTAAAACTGCATCAGTCAATGGTTTTTATATTGACAACAAATCAAATAATAATTATAAACATTTTCATTTGTACACAGAGAATTATTACCTAGTTTTTGGGTTCTTTTAGCTTCTTTGAGCTAATTGTTTTGGTTTTACGACAATGTTAGCAACTAGCTGATAACAAAAAGTGGAAAATGTTGCGTCAAGAGTTGGTGGAGACCAAAGAAGAGCTAAAAGAAGAGTGAATATTGGACTCACATTGATCAGGATGTGAGTAATCTCTCAAGACAGATTCTGCAATTTACACTGTAGATCTGTCAGCAGCCCTGTGTGAAAGACGACTAGAGAGGGGGGGAGGGCGGGGCTTTGAGTTTGAACATGCTGCGCTTTAGCCAATCACAATAGAGGGGGCGTGGTCGAGACGTGCAGGTGTCCCCAGGAAATGTGTACCTACAGAAACAGCAAGCTCCATATCCATAGCGACCGCTCCACCCAAAACGCCGTCTCATCAATGTCAAAAAAAAATATTTTTTCCAGTAGATGTCTTAGTTACAACATGATTGAGCTAACTGGAGTAGTTTCATGTCGTATCCGACAACGTGAGGCTTTTAACAGATGACGTCCTGATGTTAGCTTTGCTAACTGTCCCTGTCAGCTGCAGCCACTGCTGCTTTCTAGACATCGTGATTTCCCATAACTTAATAAATACCACACATAGCAACACAAAACTGCTTTGCTAGCTCAATCATGTTGTAACTAAGATATCCGCTGGAAAAAATATTTTATTCACGGACTGTTTGAGTTATTACCTTATTTTTATACAGTCTATGGTTATTACAGACACCGCTAACGGCTAACGTTAACAGCTAACGGTTAGCCCAGCTAATCTACGATAGCCATGTTAATTACAAAACACACAGAAATAGTAACGTTTGTTCAATCATTGTGTTTATAGACTTAACAAACATCAGATTAGTCTACATGGTGATATAGTGACGTGAAAAATGTGATATATAGCTAAACTCTGCTGGTTTTCTACCCGAAGTATTTGTAAACAATACGGTGATTCCCTGGGGGCACTGCCGGAAGTGAAGGGTGTGAGCGATCGCCGAGGCCCCTGCACTTCCGTTAGTCGAAAAACTCTGGGCTGTGCCTCCAGAGGTAAAGGAAGAAAAAAAAAATTTTTTTTTCTTTTTTTTTACCGATGGATTTCCATATTGGGATGTGTGTAGTATGTGTTTTTAATCTTGTTTTTAGTCATGTCTGCCACCTAGTGGCCAATTATTTATTAACGCAGCTTTATTTTTTTAAAACTTTTAATTCAAGTTCATTTAAATGGGTTCAATACCAATTCTTAGCCACTATAATGGACTGCAACATCCTGATTGTAACAAGTCATTTTGCCTATTACTGGTTAAAAGACAAAAATATGCTAATCTGCCGATGTGGTGAGGTCATTCCAACCGTTTCTATGATCAAGCATTCTTGTTCAGTCAGTCTGCTTTACTTGTTTGAGATACTGAACATTCTCATGCAAGGGAAACTGCACTGGGAACCACACTGGTGGATTATTTTTTTAATTATGCTGGATGAATATGAGACGAAATGACAGATTTTTTTTTGTCTTGCAACAAAGCTGTAGAAGCATAGGGAACAGCTTTCAACGCTGAATCATCCCTTTGATTAAATGCTTGAATTCTTGCAGATTTTGAGAAAACAAATCATCCATACTCTGCTTCACATCAGTAGAAAACTGAATACATAGTTGTCCCTTGTTTGTATCTACACACACAAACTTGTATATACAATATATGTGCGCATGCTTGGGTGAGCAATTGCTTGCATGTGTCGAGTCTGCGTGTTTGAGTGCCTGACACAGTCATTGTGTATCTGTATGCCACTGAATAGTGCATGACCTTGTATGTATTATGCCAGTAAACATATCCAAGAGAGTTCAATCATCAATAATTGCTTCGACAGTACGGAAGGAATATATTTACGACTTTAGACCTACATTATGCACAACGCAGTAGCGTGGAAATGTTCAAGGACTTCTCACAGCTTCCTTATCAAGGCGATGTGTTCTTAATGTAGTGCTCGATGACAAACAGCCAGCTGCTTTTATACACAAATCATTTATAGACACATAAATAATGTATGGTCTGTCACTCCGTCTCTGCGCCATGCGTGGTGGCCAGAACAGCTTAAATAAAAAAGCCTGAACACAAATCAATGAAGACTCTGTCTTGTAGATTTTTTTTTCCATGTCGTGTGTAAAAACTGGTCGAAGCAAAAACCGAGTTGGTTCTGTCATCTGATTGGCTTGGCAAGGAGACACAGGAAATGGTTTGTGTGCTGAGCAGACACCGAGGCTCACTGTGGCCGAGGCAAGAGAAACCACAACTCCACCCTCAAGTAAAGGATGGAAAAGATGCGCGTGTGTGTGTGTGTGTGTGTGTGTTTTGTCTTTTCAAAAGGTTATAATTTACTTAATTCAAGACACCACAGAAAAAAGTGCTGTGGCTTTTTATAAGTTTATCCTCCACACAAGGATTAATAAAAAGTTTTGGATATAAAGCGCTGAATGATAAAGCGCTTTTGGAAATTCAATGTCAGCATGTAAGCTTGCATATACACCTGGAGAGCTCTCCTGCCTCACACACACACACCCATATCACACACACTGGGTTTGCAGGATGATCTGTCTTCTTATGTTTCCTCTACTCTGGTTTCTATTCCAAGTCCTGAATCAGAGAGGCCGTGGTCTTGCAGGGGGGGTAAAGGGAAGCAAGGGTTGTTAAAGGAGGACTGGGAAAGGGGCCCCATTTTAGAGGAACTGCTGTCTGGCGGTGGAGGTCAGCCCAAGGGTAGAATACTTGTGTTGGAGTCAGGGAGAGGTGAGGAGGGCTGAAATCATGTTAGCTTTATTTCCCCCCCCCCACCACCACCACCACCACCGTCCCTCCTCCTCTCCTCTCCTGACTGGGAGAGCATAAATTCATTTAATCCTGTTTTTCTGTGGATTCGCTTAGCCTTTTGGGCTACTGCTGCCTTGTTCTCTAACCACAGCCCTCGGGGTGCAGGGGGAGGCTTAGGCAGCACTGAGAGTGAGGCGAAAAGGCAGTAAATGATAATATCCTTGAAAGGAGTAAAGAGCCTAACAATGATATAAATAAAAGCAAGAAGTAGGGGAGGGGAGGCCAAGTAAAGGTCAAGACAAATTGGCCTTGGATAGAATAGCCTCCTTGATTCAAAAAAAAAAAAAAAAGCATTCTTCTTCACCTTTAAACAGTGACATCCAATACACACATACACACACACACACACACACACACACACCTAGTTTACACCTGCTATGCTCCTCAGCTTCCCTGGCTACGCTGTACATCTCAGTATAATCTACACACTCTATATCTGTATTCTGTAACTATGGTGACCATAACGATGAGAGGCAGTGATTGATTTGGTCAATGTGTGAAAGAGTGCTTAACAGCAATGGTGAGAGCACTAATATTTCCAACACCCTCATGAAGTGTTAAAATTCACACCTCACTGCCAGTGATTTTTATCCCCCCCCCCTCTCCCCTCAGCACAGCCCGACTCTTCCTGGTCTCTTTGGCTCTACAATCTTTCCTCAAAGGTGCTTTACTGTACTGCCCCACAATCACAGGAGGTATTTGCCAACTCTGTGTTTACACATCAGGGTCACCCTCAAAGAGCGGGGAGCGAGATGAATGGAGCGCAGAGCAATTACAAGCTTTTGCAACAATGCCGGTACTTAAGAGCCAGTCCTGTTTATTGAGTGAATATGAAGAGGATGCAATGAATCACGCTATCCATTAACAAGCAACGTCTGTGTGAAAAGGCTTCAGTCTTCATATATGTATGTACATCGTGCCCTGTTTCCATGACGATACATGGTTAAGGCTGTGATGAGCAAAAAGTGTTCTTTTTCCTTTTACATGCGTCTTTTAGTATTTGCACTCACAGCTGTTCCACTGCATTAGTAGTTTTCACGTGCTGAAGAGCTGTAGTCAATTTGCGGTTCATTCTCTGTGATTCTAACCTGACGCTGTTCAAATGTACTTCAGTACATGTGTTATTACGCCACGACATTCAGCGCTGATTCACACCATCTTCAGTTTAGTGTGTAGCTGCTCTGAACGGTTATGTTCCAATGAGCACAAAACTAGGCCTACGTGTCACATTTTATGAGACTAATAGCTCAGCAGCCACGCACACGTGACAGTTATATCACAATAATTTTTTGTGGCTTTCATGGTAAGTAAGTTTATGTAAGTTTTAAACCAGGAAGTATTCACATCTGAACCAACAACAGTGTAAATTCAGTGACAGTGGTAACTCAGTTAAGTCAAGTCAGTTTAAAAGATTCTGTGTTAAAGGGGCATTTTATTTTTTTTGTTTTGCTTTCTCTTATGCTATTTATCACTATAGACTGTTTTGGTGCAAGTTGTTGAGTGTTGGAGATATCGGTCATAGAGATGTCTGCCTTCGCTCCAATATAATGGCACCAAATGGCACTCAGTTTGTGGTGCTCAAAGTGCCAGGGGGGGGTAAATTAATTTGAGAATCTCAGCAGCAATGTCTCTTTCCAGAAATCATGTCCCAGTTACTCAAGATAATCCACAGACCTTGTTGTGAACAGTTTCTTGTGGGAGCTATTTTCTGTCTACCAATCTACTACCACTAATCATATCACTGTGCAGAAGGAATGGTGCATCTACTCATGGACAAGAGGCTTGTGCTTGTGACAGTGAGAGATATAGACCTTAATGGCGTCCTCCTCCACTGAGGTGTAACAGAAGTTAGCTGAATAGTGCTGGGTAAGGGCATGAACGCGACTTCATCATGGCTGCCATGCGTGATCTGCGTTTTTTTGATGCGTTGGCCACACATCTCAACGTGAGGTACCGTGAGGCGTGTGCGAGATGCAATAATGACATGACTGCTAGAGGCGCTTGTGCGAATAAACACAGTGACCATGAGATCAGCCCAGACGGCGTCGCTGTCGGAGCAATGGCGGAAACTTTTGAAGAGAGGCTGACAGACCTGGTGTGGAACTACCCGCATCTCTCTGATGTTTCCACCCCGTCACAATCAAGGGCATCCATGTTTGTTTACCGGCATGCACTACCCAATTTCCGGGTTATATTTTTGCTGTCTGCCCCAAGTGGAGACCGCCACGTTTTGGCTGCGTAGTGCTGCAGCAAGTATATACACAGACACGGTGCATTGTGTACGCGTACTTTCGTTCAAGTGGCAAGTCTATTACGGCCCTAAGCCAGCAGTGGATACATGCTACCTTCTGCATGGTGATACAGTTGGTGGATGTAGTTTGTTATAAAGAAACCCGTGTCTACACGAAACTGCTCATACCTAGGTCTGTGGATTATCTGAGTAACTAGGTCATGATTTTAAGAAAGAGACACTGCTGTTAGGTTTTTCAAATGTATTTTCTGGGCACTTCGAGCACCACAAGCCGAGTGCCATCCAATTCCATTATATTGGAGAGAAGGCAGACATCTCTACGGCCGATATCTCCTACACTCTGCAACTCACACCAGACCCATCTACACCGATAAATGGCACTACAGTTAAGAGGAGAAATGTGCATTTTTTGATTTGGGGGTGAACTGTCCCTTTAAAGATGAATTTGCAAAATTTATTTAAAAATTTATTACAGCAAGGGCAACCTCACTAAACTGCAGAAATTTTAGGTCACTCCATCATAAAGTCTTCATCAGCTGGCCTCCACTAGTGTTCCCTTGCCAACTACTGCAGGAACATCACATCTAAAAGCATTTTATTTTGTTGATCCACCTCTTTTTCCTCTACTCACTCTACCTGTGAGCAGCAAATGAAAGTTAAACAGCAGTGTGTGAGCTTGTGGAAGCTATATTTAGTCGGACTTGTAGCTGAGGCGGACTTCAGAATGACATTCATGGTATTCAAACCTTAACCATTTAAATGTCACAGTGGATGATTCTATAATCCCCGGTCTCCACTGAGGGAGGACAGGGTTTGTGCATATGAGGAGGAGTAATTTAAGTTTGCAGGAATGTTTGATTGTTGCACCTTGAATAAATCCTTTAATGGCGAGACTAAGCCCTTCCTGTCCACATCAGGATGATATGTTGTCTGACTCTTACAACTATAAATGGCGTGTTGGTGTAGATTCCTGAACATGTGATGTTTGTTGTCAGTAGTATCGTCTGTACAAAAATTATTGTGTTCTTTGTTAATTTTAAGGCTGTGGTTGCCAGAGTAGATGCTCCGACACATGCAGGGTTTACATAAAGTCTTTGTATGTTTATGGTTTCAGTTATAGTTTCTTTAACCACATTAACATGGATAGTACAGATATGATTTTAAAGTGAAAGCCTGATGAATGGTCTGTCCTCCACAACAACATGTTCTGTATATGTGGCTTCACCATGGGACTGATTAAATCCCTGTATCCACTTAAAGCAGGCAGGAGCAGTATGTGCACTCCATCAGTAGCCTCTAATTTGAGGAATGCGGTACAGGCTTTCACCGTGCCGTGCAATTACAAGGCATTATCCAATTTGAGTACTTTGATTACATTCTGCACATTGGGTATCTTAAACACAAAAAATATTTGTGTTTGTGAAAACAGGGTGGTTCACAATAACTAGGTAGGCTGTCCCGACAACTTCCAAGTTTATATAAATAATCAGAAGCACAAGGGCACAAACGGTGACATGCAGAGCATGCAGATGGAGCAGAGGTTCACACAGCTACGTTGGTATGTTTTTATTTCTCCAGTCTACATCAGTGAACTCCCCGAGGACTGCCTGTTCTCACAAACCCTCACTCTGTTTCCACATCCAGTGGTACCGCGCTCCTGCGGCTGCAACAGCTGAATGCATTATTCCCCCCCACCAAAGTAGTGCTTGAAGCAGAACATTTTTAAATACAGTAGAGCCTATGGCTGCAATGCACAGCATGGTGTCACAGAGCAGAATTACAGCGGCAAGTGCTTCTGTAAAATTGGATCGAGGCAGGATGGGAAACAAGCTGCTTTACTGACGGGAAGGCGGCAAAATGGGACATCTTCTAACCTTGACGTCACTTCTCAGGAGCTCTATTTCACCCTTTGCAACTCTGCATATGTAACCATGTTCCCTAAAAGTCAAACTAAATTGAATTTTATTTTACTGTAAAGGCATGTGCACTATGCCGCTCTTTCATTTCCTAAAATAGTGCTCTTATCTGTGTCTCCATGTGTGTCTATGTGGATTAGTTGAGATGTGAGGGAATGGGTAAGTGGGACTTTATCCTCTACGGTATGTGCTGTACCTTCTCTCTTCATGCCCATGGCTAAACACTTCTGGTAGCGGCAGTACTGGCAGCGGTTCCTCTGGCGCTTATCAATGACACAGTCCTTGTTGTCGCGACAGGTGTAGGTCAGGTCTTTGCGCACCGTCCTTTTGAAAAAACCTTTGCAGCCCTCACAGCTGTATACCCCATAGTGTTTACCTGAGGAGAGACAGAGATGCAGAGATGGTTCTTCTGATGCGTACATATTAAATAAAATATAAATCATATTTTCATTTTTGTCTCAGTGACTACGTTTACATGCACACTAATATTCCATGTCGTATATATGCCTTGGGGTACCCAAGGAGAAGATGGAAAGCGCTGTTGGGGAGAGGGACGTCTGGGGTTCTTTGCTGGTTGCCCCTGCAACCCAGCCCCGGATAAGCAGACAAAAAATGGATGGATGGATACTCTGAATGTGTTTCCAAATTTGATATGGTCAAGTAAACAGCATATTCCATTTGGATAATCCGATTTAGGCCTTATTCCGAATTCAGCATTTTCCAATTAAAACCTGGGATATGCTGCAGATATTTGGGTGTTAGGAGCGTTCTTTGGACATGTATACTGCATGTTCAGACACACAGCATCTTGCCCGAGTTTACAAGAGTGGTGTACAGGTGCATGCCCAAAAGAAAAGCCCACATTTCTGCTCGGAGGAGAAACACACCTACTTTTAAACATTATGAAGGACCTAGATACCACCTAGATATCAACAGGCACATTAGTCGCCGTCAGTTTGCCCTTGTTATAAATAGTAACTTGTCTGCAACTTTAATAAGAAGGTTTTTCAAAAGACCTGAGAATGAAAACCTTTAGAGTCTGAAATAACATGCAGCCACATGAACAGCATATAGGAACCAGCTTCTGGGGTAGCAAAACAGTAATTATGTTCAGAGACCTATGAAAGTAGACTGTGTGTGGGTGGTTATGCTTAAGTAGCTGAGGAACAAATGAGGGGGCCTGCTGAAGGTAAGCTGCAGGGGACCTCATTGATTGGCATGACGGTACTGTTCTCACTTCGTGTCTCAGTACAGGAAGAATCGTCTCTTTCCCCTGTTCCTGACAGGTCTTATAGATGTGATATATGATGGGTGAAGTCCATTTGCATTCACCAGGGTTGCTCAAACAGTTTCTTTGTTAGACACTTGCTGGTCAGACCACCGGAGAAGATTAATAAAGCCTCAGAGCACATTTAAATGAAGCATGACTTGCTATTAAACGTTGTTTTGATTCCCCCCTTGGGTCCGTGCAGCACCGATGACGCAGGATGACACTGAAACTGTCCAGTGAATTAGATATCCTGCTTTATCCCGGGGCTGAAAATCTTTCCCATGAGTGATGGGCTGTGCCTGGTTTCCCTCCGACACAGAGCTTCTCTATTTCAGTTGAAGCTGTATTGAGGTTTGGTTTCATCAGACTGTACGGTCTTTTGCCTCATGACGTCAGTTTCTTTTATGTGCCTTTATGCTGCTGCCCTCATATGCATTTTCTCAGGAGTGGCTTCGTTCTGGCTTCTTCGCCATTTAGCCCAGATTTCTGAAGGATTCCACTGACTGTTGTCCTTCCAGGAAGATCTCCCGCTGCAAGAAGCTGCAGTGTGTAGTGCTGCCAGAGCGGTCCGTGGGGCTGTTCTCTGACCAGAGTTCATCTTTGGAGGTTTCTTAGTGTGGTCGGAGCACCAACTTTAGTAAGACGCTGGGTAGTCCCACTTTCTTTTCATTCGGCAATAATGGAGTCCTGTGTATTCCCAGCTGTGGAGACATTATTTTTATACCTTTCCCCACAATTCTTCCCTTAATTATACATAACACTCCCTGAAATTCCTGGTTAGGCTTTGACTCATGTGCACTTTTAAACAGTCATCTCCGTCCATTTGATCTTTATAATTTATAAGTAGTTTGACAATGTTTCATTCTGTACAGATGACTCAAAAAAAACAAAAAAACAAAAACGTAAGCCATGACACCACAGACAGTAGAAAAAGGGAAAGCAGGCTAAATCATCCTGAAGGCACTGCACTTTTAACTCATGATTTTCTCACAAGTAGTCACATCATTTTATTTTAAATATTTAAATTCCATGATTTCTTATCATGCAATATCCTGTGCGAGTCTGGTGTCACTCACCTGAGGAGCGGTCACCACAGATGGCGCAGATGTGTTTGGTGAGCGACAGGACAGTGCCCGAGGGCTGGGCGGGCACCTTCATCACACCGTTGAGGCCCAGCGGGGGCTTGATGTCCTCTGTGCTGCTGACCGAGTTCATCGGAGAGTTCAGCTGGAACATCAACACACCCAAACACACATGCGGACAGGTTACAAGGCAGCCCTCCTGAACTCAAAACCAGCAACGTCACACACCCCATTACACAGGCCTGTGAATACTTTAGCTGGTGCGGCATAGCTAGCTAATGATCTATTGAATAAGGGCCAGGCCTGCTAAGGAAACAAAGAAGTTTTGATTACATATACAGTATAGGCCAAAAGTTTGGACACACCTTCTCATTCAATGCGTTTTCTTTATTTTCATGACTATTTACATTGTAGATTCTCACTGAAGGCATCAAAACTATGAATGAACACATGTGGAGTTATGTACTTAACAAAAAAAGGTGAAATAACTGAAAACATGTTTTATATTCTAGTTTCTTCAAAATAGCCACCCTTTGCTCTGATTACTGCTTTGCACACTCTTGGCATTCTCTCCATGAGCTTCAAGAGGTAGTCACCTGAAATGGTTTCCACTTCACAGGTGTGCCTTATCAGGGTTAATTAGTGGAATTTCTTGCTTTATCAATGGGGTTGGGACCATCGGTTGTGTTGTGCAGAAGTCAGGTTAATACACAGCCGACAGCCCTATTGGACAACTGTTAAAATTCATATTATGGCAAGAACCAATCAGCTAACTAAAGAAAAACGAGTGGCCATCATTACTTTAAGAAATGAAGGTCAGTCAGTCTGGAAAATTGCAAAAACTTTAAATGTGTCCCCAAGTGGAGTCGCAAAAACCATCAAGCGCTACAACGAAACTGGCACACATGAGGACCGACCCAGGAAAGGAAGACCAAGAGTCACCTCTGCTTCTGAGGATAAGTTCATCCGAGTCACCAGCCTCAGAAATCGCAAGTTAACAGCAGCTCAGATCAGAGACCAGATGAATGCCACACAGAGTTCTAGCAGCAGACCCATCTCTAGAACAACTGTTAAGAGGAGACTGCGCGAATCAGCCCTTCATGGTCAAATAGCTGCTAGGAAACCACTGCTAAGGAGAGGCAACAAGCAGAAGAGATTTGTTTGGGCCAAGAAACACAAGGAATGGACATTAGACCAGTGGAAATCTGTGCTTTGGTCTGATGAGTCCAAATTTGAGATCTTTGGTTCCAACCGCCTTGTCTTTGTGAGACGCAGAAAAGGTGAACGGATGGATTCCACATGCCTGGTTCCCACTGTGAAGCATGGAGGAGGAGGTGTGATGGTGTGGGGGTGTTTTGCTGGTGACACTGTTGGGGATTTATTCAAAATTGAAGGCACACTGAACCAGCATGGCTACCACAGCATCCTGCAGCGACATGCCATCCCATCCGGTTTGCCTTTAGTTGGACGATCATTTATTTTTCAACAGGACAATGACCCCAAACACACTCCAGGCTGTGTAAGGGCTATTTGACCAAGAAGGAGAGTGATGGAGTGCTGCGGCAGATGACCTGGCCTCCACAGTCACCGGACCTGAACCCAATCGAGATGGTTTGGGGTGAGCTGGACCGCAGAGTGAAGGCAAAGGAGCCAACAAGTGCTAAACACCTCTGGGAACTCCTTCAAGACTGTTGGAAAACCATTTCAGGTGACTACCTCTTGAAGCTCATGGAGAGAATGCCAAGAGTGTGCAAAGCAGTAATCAGAGCAAAGGGTGGCTATTTTGAAGAAACTAGAATATAAAACATGTTTTCAGTTATTTCACCTTTTTTTGTTAAGTACATAACTCCACATGTGTTCATTCATAGTTTTGATGCCTTCAGTGAGAATCTACAATGTAAATAGTCATGAAAATAAAGAAAACGCATTGAATGAGAAGGTGTGTCCAAACTTTTGGCCTGTACTGTACAAACAGAGAAAATAAATCTGAGGGGAGTTATGTCAGGAAGATTGTCATGAGCAATTTGCTAACTACAGAAAGTGAGAAGGATATTATGACTTCTGATACTCAATACAGATGGTCAGCAGTCCCAGCAGCAGCTCTTTTGCCCTCTTTCATTGCTCCGTCTGTCTCTCTCCTCCCCCCGCTGTTCCCCCCCTCTGTTTCAGATCTAAATCTGGCGCAGCAGGATCCTGCACCACTCCACCCCAGGAACTCTTTTATTCATGCTCTCAACAAGCCCCGCTGGCTCCCGAATGTTCAGCGCTAGCATAACTCCACTGCAAAATTTAAAAGTACAGCCGAATAAAGAGACAGCATTTGTTTTAGCAGCAGTGCAACTGCAGCCTTAAGTCTAACTTCAACTGCTGCCTCCCTCCCTCTCTGAAAAAGAAAAAAAAAATCATCTCACAGTGACCTCTCTTCGCCTCGTGCTAAAAGTGGAGAGCAAGGGGAGGCTAATTATTATAACTAGCACCACGCTGTTTCAAGAGGAGATAAATGTTGGGGGGCAGGATATAAATTATCCTAAAACACTAAATGTACTAGATGGAACAGGAGCTGCGCAGCTAACCATTAGCACCATCTCCTGAAAGAATCCGAAAAGTAAAAGCACCAGTCTGCTTGACTAGGCTAACACAAAAATGACATTACACTGGGGGAAGAAAGGGGGAAATAAAAGGGAATATATTCAGATAAGTGGATCTCTGACAAACATGCCTGCAGCAGAGGAGTGAGAGACAGAGCAGAGCTGGCAGAGCAGCCACACAGGCTCATATAGCCAAACGTGTTTTCATTATGTTACCACATATGAGACGTGTGATCACACAAACGTGTCTTGGCTCTAAATTTAGCAAAGATACCCCGTCTCTGTCTGCAGGGATCGGTCAGGACAGAAGAACTGTTTCGTTTTTATGGTGATGAAACGAACACGATGGTCTAAGAGAGTTTGCTGTCCTCAGCTGTGTTTACAGAGATGTGACACAGAACATTAGCTACTAACTGGAAAAACACAGCGATGTATACATGTCTTTCACAAACATACAGTATATAAACCAAACAGACACAGTGTGCTTATGGATGTTGATGATGTGGCTCCAAAACTCAACACAGAGTAAATGTATTAAATATCTTTGAAGATTTATCACTGTTTACACAGGCCAACCCTTGGTGTATGCCACTTCTCTTTAACACACTGAACACTATAACAGCGAACACGTGCACAGGTGAGATGTACGAATCTCTGAGAATATTAACCTTTAACATCTATTGTGATGCCATAAAGATGAAGCAGCTGCATTTACACACACACACACAGAAAAGCATTTGTATGCATATACTCACAGGTTCACCATAACAGAAGTCTGCATGCACATAGACACAGATACACTAAATGAATTCACATATAGGCTCGTGCACACGGAGCTGCTGTGGCTCCTGGCATCTCATTTCACCTTACACTCTGATGTCTGATTCTTCTTAAATAGCTTCAAAGTTAGAAAAATGTCAGCAAAGCCATATACGTTCTTGCTTGAAGCTACAATATACAGTGCTTACGCTGAGTGAAATATTCCAAACCATGGTGCTTTTCCTTCACATCAAATAGAAAATTCTAGATGTCTTCTGCATCATTTTATACACTTTCCACATAATTCAGCATGGCATATGTGGTGTCATGGTAACTTGACTTGAGAAACTGACTAGAATTTCCAATATAAAGCCTCTGTGGGTTTGGATGTTTGGCTGCATTTGAATGATGGATCCACTGGTGGGTTTCAGTGGGTTGAAAAGGTTAAAGCCCTCTGCCACATGAAAATGTTCAATTCACACCCTGACACACACCCCTGGCATGCTCTTCACACTCTGTTTACACAAATACACACTGAACTGAATGCAACACACACACACACACACACACACACACACACACACACACACACACACAGCTTACAGGAGATCAATTATGCTTTTCCTTACTTTCTGTGATGTGTATAATGTTGCAGTGTTGGATGTTTGTATCAAACATGGCCAAAGTTTTAAATAATGAGATAAACATGTAGAAATAATCCCTGTGAGCAAAAACCTCAGGTTTCAGATGGTTCTGAATAATCTGTTTTCAATGTTTTTTGTACTTTGGCTACAAGCCAGTTCAGCTCATGACGAATTTCTTTATATGGTCCAGGCATGCTAATGCAAATGTTTACATTATGTACACTGCTATTCGTAGCTACTTGCTAATGTCAGGAAAACATGTAATCTTGGCTGGAGATGTTGTTTGTTTCTCCCTGATTTCAGTACATGTTACTGCTGGAACATGTCTGGTTGTGAGGACTAGTTCAGAAGCTTTAATTGGTGATTTGTCCTGGTAGAAAGTGCTGCTATTCTCAGCTACAGTCATGATGGCTGTAAGTACACTGCTACATGTAGCTGCATGCTAATCTAAAAAAACATGCAGTCTTGTTTGCAGATGTTGTTTATTCCCCCTGATTCCAGTACATGTTTCTACTGGAACATGTACAGTTGTGAAGATTTTGGTTAAGAAGCTTCTATTGGCGATTCTTCAAGGTAGAAAGTGCCATTAAACTCTGTTATAGTCATTCCTCGGCTGCATGTACACTGCTACATGTAGCTACATGCTAACCTCAGGAAAACATAGTCTTGGTTCAAAATGTTGTTTATTTCTCACTGATTTCAGTACATAATACATATTCCTGCTGGAACAAGTTACAGCCATACACCAGCTGCAAGTACGCTGCTACATGTAGCTGCATGCTTATCCAAGAAAGCAAGTCAGCTTGGTTGCAGATGTTGTTATTTCTCTCTGATTTCAGAACATATTCCTGCTGGAACATGTCCGGTTGTGAAGATTATGGTTTAGAAGCTTCTATTGGTGATTCTTCAAGGTAGAAAGTGCCATTAAACTCTGTTATAGTCATTCCCTGGCTGCATGTGCACTGCTACATGTAGCTACATGCTATCATCAGGAAAACAAAGTCTTGGTTGGAAATGTTGTTTATTTCTCACTGATTTCAGTACATATTCTTGTTGGTACATGTATAGTTGTGAAGACTGGTTTCAAAGCTGTAATTGGTGATCAGTGCTGGTAGAAAGTACGGCTATACTCTGTTACAGTCATATGATGACTGCAAGTACGC